GGGGTCGTCTTGTACATGGGGGCATCTTATTGTCGGAAAAATACGGTACTCTTGCCTTTCCATCAATACCTTTGTAGTATTTACATTTAGACTGCATTTCTTACTGCCTTTCTCTATTGAAAGGCATTATATAAATGTATCGGATCTAGGAGAAGCTGATGAGCTCTGGTCAAAGTCTTAATAGCCATGAGTCAGAGGGAAAATAAGTTTTATACTCAGATAATACTTTTTGTTGCCTCAAGGAAAAAATTTAATAACTATTAGGATACCATTTCTTGTCATTAAGCTCTCAAACTTCTCAATTGGTTATAACTAAGAACTGCTGAAGAAATTATAAGACATATGTTTTATGTTTGATCTGGGCCTAGTGTACGCCTGGAAAGGGGAAACAGATGAAGAATATATATGGTGTATCGAACAGACCCTCTATTTCAAGGATGGACAACCTCTGAACATGATTCTTGATGACGGTGGAGACCTCACCAGCTTGGTTCATACAAAATATCCTCAGCTCTTGAAAGGTAATTGTCTAGTCTTCCAAAACACTTGAAATTTTCTGATGGCAAAGGAGAGTTCTTTTGGGAATTCAGAATCCTCAGAAATATTGTACATTCAAAGTGACTGGGGAGATAATTGTTTCATTTTTAAATGGATGGTAATGAATGAATGAAAGGCAGGGTGGGCAAAACTCATAATCAACCAAAACAACGGACACTACTTGTGAGGCAGAAAATACCCACAAAGTATATTGTAAGCCCTGATTGATTTAGCATATGGTAAAGGAGGATTTATTTGCATTAAACTTCCCCCAATATTAGGAAAAACTCCAGAATGTTCTAGGTCCTTTCAGTTCCACTCTCTAGTGTTGCCAAACTCACTGCAACCTTCACCTTCAGTAATTGCAGAATGCCCACCTTAGAAGTAAAGATTGATTTGGACTTTCCCAAGTGGCCCCCTTATTCTGTATCTTTTATAAGTGAGATGTACATTTTATATTTTGATGCCTTTTAATGTCATTAAAATTGTTCCATTTTTTTTTAAATCTGACCTATTTTTGTAGTATAGTCACTGTGAATCTGAAATTTTATGACAGTTTGAAATTAAACTCATTTTACAGCTATGAGCCATTTTCTACTCCCCTCCCTTTGCAGATGTCTCAGTGTTTAGAATACTATGCTCAGACTTTTTGCAGCTATACAACAACAACAACAAGGCTTCAACTTTAAAATATATATATATACGTGTGTGTGTGTGTGTGTGTTCAGCACTGAATTCAGTATTGAACTTTTTATTGACATCCCTTATAGACTGAATGTCTTTTACAGGTGCAGCAAATACACAATGAACTTTTTGGAATGAAGCCAAACCAAAAAATCAGTACTATCTTTTTGATTTTGAGGAAACGTTTTCTTTTGAGGATCCTCTTGAAAGGTTTTCCCCATTTTTTTAATTCTCTAAATCCTAAACTGTTCAGGAATGTCCTAGGTAGTGTTGTTATGAATTACGTGGTGAAACAGAAGATTTAAAGAGAGAAAATGTTCAAGTTGCTGCTGTCTTACTATGACATTTCCTTTGACTTATATATTAGGTTAGGAATTTAAATAGAATGTATAAAACAGCAATAAAGCCGTGGGACTTGAGGAGGAGCATTTTGAACTAATGGCTGCCAAAATAATGTGTTTTGTGAATCACTCAGAAGGATGTGCGCTTCCATGATAGCACGATGCTGTTCTGCCTCATCATGTTTTGCTGTTTGAAAAACACTGTTTTATTTGATTTTTTGTATATCAAATTTGTCACCGCCCATCTCATTAAAAAGCAACTCTGGGTGGTTTACAGAGAAGATAAAATCAGTTAAAATACAATATAAAAACAGTCTTAAGTAAATAATAAATTCCAAGAATTGATGGAATTGGCGAATAGCTCAATTTAGTAGTTAGTGCAGTGTTTCTGACTACTAGAAAGTCTGGTCTGCTGTTCACATCTTTTTTCTAATACTGTAAACAAATGGCATTCAGGATGGTTAATAAAAATCAACAAAATAATTCATGCCACAATTGAAAATCTTATAAAATGGATTAGAAAGTGCCCCGACTCATGTCCTATCTAAAACTTGCTTACACACCAAAAGCCCACCTAAATAAAAATAATTTTCCCCTTCCAGTGAGAAATGTAAAATGATTTTACATAACTTACCAACCTGTTTCACAGAATATAAAATATCTAAGTTTAAATGTAAAAAAACCCCACATTCAGAAAGTTCAAATCAGTTAGGGGTAGATTGTTTTGGTTTCTTTTTCTGAAGAAAAGAGACTTGGAGGGAGGGAGCACCCTCTTAGCATTCCTAGATGTCACGGTAGGTTTTAGTGCTATCAAGAATGGCATCTGCGTATATTGCATGGCAGAATCAGGCCTTGATGTCTTAGAGTTTGGCTTCAGTAAAAAGGCTAATGGTATAGTGATATATCTATCTTATCTATATCCAAAGCAGTGTTTCTCAATCTTGGCAGCTTGAAGATGTGTGGACTTCAACTCCCATAATTCCCCAGCCAGCTAGTCCTCTACTTATGAATGGGTTACATTCCAAGAGGCTGTTCGTAAGTCCAACAACCAAAAAAAAAAGAAGAGGTGGAGGCAGGAGGCAGGGCCGGTGGGGTGTGGCACGCTCCATTGCTGGGCAAGGCAGGAGACCTCTGCCTGCTCTCTCCTGTCCTCTGCCACCGCCCCCTCTCTCGCCTCACCTGGCAGTGGAGCGTGCCACATAAACTAACCTTTTTTGGGAACTCCAACTTCAGTGCAAACCTCAAATGCAAAAGGAATGCTGGAGAAGGTGGGAAAGGGTTAGTTTGGGATGCCCTGCAAACTAACCCTTTCCCACCTCCTCCCAACTTCCGGTTCCAACTTCCGGCCTGACTTCCAGGTCCATCCTGTTTGTATTGGTGAAAGTTTGCAACATGAAAGTTTGCAAGTAGGGGACTGTCTGTATAGTGATATACCGCATCATGCTATTCCATGATTGGTGCAACATAGAATGTACTAATTTCTATTAACTTGAACTTTCAAGGCCTGTAGAAACAGCTTAGTACTGTAATGCTTTTATCCTCTCAGTAAGTAGGTGTTCACTTTGAACTTTGAAACTATGCCTGCTAAGAGCAGGATTGCCTCTCAGGATCAGAACTCAAGGCTTTATCATCAACATCTAGTCCCAGCACAATGCAAATCCAAACTGTCTCAAATGATAGTCCACGTAATCAGCAAATTGCATATATCAATGTATTACACTTAATAAGGATGGTAAATGGAAAAGTTCATAAAGATTAAAAACCCCAAATATTGGAAGAACATGAAGCTTGGAAAAACTTAATTGAAGTTAAGAACCAAGATTAATCTCCTACAAATCTGAGGAAAGCTGTTTGCCAATAGTGAAATTAAAACCTGCAAGTTAAGCCTCTAATATCCTATTCAGTTATTTTTAACAGCAGACAAGGATTAGGAGACAGGCCAAGATCTTCCAACATTGGCCCCTTCAGTGGCAATAATGCTGCTTGTTTATCAGGTCCATCAATGTTACCCAGGCATTATTCCAGCACGTTGATGTCTACCTGAATATCACATGGGATAAAAAAGGTGAACATTCTGTCAAACTGAGCTCTTGTAAAACAGAAGTTGTGTCTCTTAGGGCGTGCTTCATTATACAACTGGTTTCTCGGCTTGTGTACTTTTGGATATCTTGTAATTGCTTAAGCTCAAGTGAGAGCAATTGTTCACGGTCAGGGCTGCACTTGACTTTTTAGTGACTGCTAGGGACTACACAAAATAGGCAAGGTCAAGGCTAAATGTAATTTAAATTACAGTTAATTAAATCAAAGTGCAGTTAGTACGGTTATTTTCCATTTAATCATTTTTTCCGTCTGTTGCATTAAAACAGTGTTGTCCAAACTTGGCCACTTTAAGATGAGTGGACTTCAACTCCCAGAATTCCCCAGCCAGCCATGCTGGCTAGGGAATTCTGGGAGTTGA